AAATGGAGAGTGTAATCTGTTAATGTACCAGCCCATTGTTACGGCTATAAAAACAACTTTGTGATTGGCTTGCTCCTTGCTATAGTGATCTGAATGGGTGGAGACCCCCACACATGTGTACACGTAATGCACACATTCTGCGTGGATGTGTAGCTTAGCATCCAATCAGTGTAACATGTAAGGTAACATGTAAGAGACATCGCTCTGGGCAAAGTTGCACCAGGCTGCAGAGATGTCCGCCTTCTCTCCATTACCTTGTTCTGTCTCCCAACATTAACCAGTAATTCATTGTTCCGTCCTACTCGATGTGTGCGAGCATGTTTGTGTGGGTTTATGTGCGAGTGTGTATTGAGTCGCTTGGTGTCCAGCCCCTAAATGTGTTGTCAGCCGGCCATGCAGAGTGGGTGGAAGTCGTGAGACCCCCTGTGTGTGTGTGTGTTTTTCACCGCTGAGAAATTCTTGTCCACCCACCCTGCTGATCTCTTTTAGCTTTTTTCCACTCTAACCCACCATTATTAACACAAGAAACACTTAACAACTCAAACCAAGCACAACTCTGAAGCTATACAGTGTAGAGAGAGAATCATCTCCAACACAAACATGGTTTTGCAGCACAATAACTTGAGGTACAGAATATGTTAATGTTTACAATTATTGCATTAGCTTTTTAGATTTGCAAAAATGTATCAACTTGTCAATTGGAAATAAATTGACAACAAATCGCAAAATTCAATATTCGTTCAGTCTTTTATCATGCAAAGAATAAAAACACAGCTTTCAGCCACTCAAATTTGAGTATTTACTTTTCTCCTTTTTATAATTTTGAAACTGAAGGTCTTTGGGTTTAGTACTGTTTATGGGCATAACGAGCAATTTGAAGACATCATCTTTGGCTTTTGGAAAACATAACAATTAATCAGCTTGTCAAAAGAACAGAAATGAACTAACTGATAATGAATATGATCATAAGTTGCAGTCCTCTAGCATTCGTTGTTTTAGTGACCAGTATGTGGGGCCACTTAAGCAACCATAACACACAAAATGCTTTTTATCAAGCCTCTGCAAATCCTAAAACTATATTTTTTCTGAATGATGAATTGCCCTCTGTTCAATAAAAAACAGTTTGGACGGTAACATAATGTATATGGCATGTGTAAAAGAAAAGTATTATGCTCATTTACTTACTTTTAGAATAAAACTGTGTGGTTCTTCCTTGCTAATGTTATCTTTATTTACTGGCTTTCACGTCGTTGCTAAGAGTTGGGGAAATTCTTGTTGAGACGATTTGTTGCAATGTTGTTAGTTACGCTCTCTGTGCACCAAACAGTATGACCTTCAACTTCTGTGAACTGAGAACATACTGATACTGCCTCCCTAAACTTCCAGAATTCTCCTTTCATTATCGCCAAGGTTTTCCCCACCTTTCTCCTTTCTCTGTGTTTAAATATGCAACCCAAACTCTATTCGATTAGATTGATAAATACATTCCCACAACAACACATGCCACTAGCTTATGAGCTAACCAACAAAAATGGCAGCCACTTTAAATTCATGCAAAAAACGAACCTAGGAATATAAACTGCTTAATGGAAAATGTGGATGCTTGCAGTGTGCCAGAAGAGGGGGAAACAACATGTACATTGCTACACCCACTCAGCTGTTAAAACGGTTGTGGATTTTAGGCACACTAGACCTAAAAGTGTATTAAACTTTTCTTACGCCATCTGACTACTCCTCCCTAAAAATCTCGTCTCTCTACTGTTGACAGAGAGAGAGGGCAGATTTGTGCTGGACAGAGGAGATGCAATAAGTAGCGCTAATCTGTGACTCACCGCCCACCTCCCCCATCACACTTCCATCTCTGTCTCCTTTTCCTCTTCAGCCGCCTGTGTCTCTGTCACTCTTTGTCCTCCACCCTTTCCTCTCTACTCCTGGGACCCGCTGCATTTTCATTAATTCATCGGCGACTCCTACACTCAGGCCCCGGGCCAACACCGAGAGGATGAGAGAAGGTGTGAGAGGGAGGCTCAGTGGGTGCAGGAGGAAGGGACAGAGGGACGGGAGGGAGGGGTGCAGAGGCCTCATTAGTATTTGAAGTGATGGAGGAGAGAGGACTATGAATAGACACGCCACTCTCAAAGATAAGCACCAGCCGAGCTCCTGCTGCGGACTTCATGAGAACTTTCAGAGGCCTTGAAACGGAGCGGCTTTTAAGTGATTAAGGCACTAAATATGCATGTTGCTCTATTAAAAGGCTTTTCAAGGACATCCTGCCTGTACTGGCTGCCCTACTCCCAAGTGTAGGTCAGTGATAACATACCAGAAGGCCAGGGAATGCAGGAACGTAGCCCAGAACAGAGCGCTGCTGCATTAGCTGTGGTTTAGGAGGTAGAAGGGGCCATCGTGGGTTGGTCATTTGTCTTCCTGTCCTCATGTCCTTGGGCACAACCGTCAACCCTCATATTGCAATGTAGCTTTCTGCCATTGGTGTGTTCGTATCTGAATTGGTCAGTCAGTGTGCTTTGGATAAAAAAGATCAAATGAAATGCAGCCAAATGTATGTGTTTTCAGCTAGTAGCAGTTAAGTTGCAGCCCTATTCTAATATTTTGCGTCGGTGCTTTGTACCGCAAGGGTAGAAAGTGTTGTGTGTGTTTTTTCTTTCATCGTTTCCTTAGGTATGGTACTATATTTAGTCTAGATCTACAGATAAAACAAGCTCTTAAAGGGCCAGTGTAGTATTTAGTGGGACGAATTGGAAAATGGTATTCATAACTTCATATCTGCTTTTTTAAGTGTAAAATCCCCGGAAACTGAGAATTGTTGTCTCCTTTGAAGTAGCCCTTCATATCTACATAGAGAGCAGGTTCTCCATGTACCTACAGTAGCTCAAAACAGACAAACTCTGGCTCTAGATGGAACCTTTTGCACTTTTTAAAACAAGGTTTAAAATAAATAAATAGGGTAATTGTCCTATAGGTGTAGTTATTAATGCATTTGGAATGATCCTTTTAATGTTTATATATGTGCAGTATATACATGCCCATGGACGCCAGATGGAAAACTAGCAATGTGCTATATCTTCTGTGGTGCATGTATCTTGGTTGTGTGTTTGGCAACGTGTTGTTACAGCTGGGCTCAGCTCATCCATTTGCACTGGTGAGTCAGGCACATGGCAGCTTTTTGCCTCAATCATCTGTGAAATGGGCATAATTGGTCCATTTTATTTTGAAAAAATGAATTGTGTGATTTTGAGAGCATGTTACACCTGTGTTACAGTCTGTGTGTCTCAGAGTGTGAACAGGCTTGTCTCTGGCTGTATGGGTTGGTTGAAGAGTTCCTATACAATTTGTAGGTGCATTTAAAAGATCAACTGTAGTCCTGATGTGACGACTCCACGGAGAATCTGTCTTATGTTGGATAGAGCACACTGTGAGGCATCTGGCAATCCTGTAAATGTCGGGTCAGTATGCTCTCATAATAGGTTTTCGTGCACCATCAGCAAAAAATACTCCAATCTGTTTAACCACAAAGTAAAAAATAATGAATAATGAAACATTTTTCCTCTGGGAGAAGAGAAGGAAGTGAGCTGACGTTAGAAAGGAGGGAGGAAGGAAAGAGGAAAATATGTTTCTTTGCAGATTGTTTTTCATTTGTCTTTATATTAACTAGATTTCTGCTATCTCTATTTAAAGTGTCAGCCTCTCAAACGCTTCATTAAACGTGAATGCATTGCTGAAAGCACGATGGCCTACTTTTTGTCATCAGCTTTCATACCTCCTAAACTCAAATAGCCTTTATTTGGTGTGAGCAGGAAAATAATATTTGTTATCCTGAGCTGCAACAACGGTTGAATGATGCATTTGTTTTTTTTTCTTCATTCTCTCAGTGTCTCCTTATGACTCACCACTGCTCAATTCCTTCAACCAATCACAATCCAGCTCTCCCTTCGCTGCCTTGCTTGCCTTTCTCCTCAAAGCAAAGTCAGAGAAATCACTCTTCACTGTGTTGCACTTTTCTCTTCTAGGCTGTCTTGATTGCATTGATCGTGTGTGTGTGTGTGTGTGTGTGTGTGTGTGTGTGTGTGTGTGTGTGTGTGTGTGTGTGTGTGTGTGTGTGTGTGTGTGTGTGTGTGTGTGTGTGTGTGTGTGTGTGTGTGTGTGTGTGAGAATATCCGGCTTTTTCTCAAATACATTCCCACAGCATTACAGTCACTTAGGCCAGGTGACTGTTTATCAGAATCTCCATGTTTTTAATCGGGCGATATCAATTCATCATTTGGCATTCTTGCAGAGGATTTGACAATGCAGTTTTCTGGATGCTTGCTTTTATTTTTGACCTGATTCAATTAAATCTATTAACAGAGCTCTGTCAGTTTGCATTATCTATCCACATTCAGCACCTCCTAGAAATACCCTGCTTCTCTGCACGTCAGCCGCTCATTTAAATTTAAATCTGTCACTCTCCACAGGCTAGAAACCCCCAGCACTTCATAAAATGAGCAATGTGTACACTTATATTAAAGTGTGCCATTTTAATAGGACCATAACGGCATCACTGCTGAGACGAGGCTGTTATCAATAGTTGCTCGTTAGCTTACCCATCAGTATTTGATTAGCTGTGACTTCTTTGCCAACACATTTTACGGTTGTTACCGCTACATGTGTTAAATGATTGTTCCTAATTCATCGTTTAATCTCATGCTTGATTACTTATTTTGACATCACTTCACTTTCCACCACTACTTCAGTGGGTGTGTTATTAAGGTGAAGTCATTATGTAGAGTCTGCAATCTTCCCCTTTGAACAAGTGGCTGATTTCAAACGTACCTTATTATTTCTGGACTGTGTTCTTTCGTTTGGAAAGGCTTACACAGGGCAGACGAATAGAGGAGAGATGGATGAAAAAGAAATGGACGTGTTTACTTTTCTTTTGTTTTTATTGCTTTTCTGCCAGTCATGCTGCACAAGTCTAATCTCGGTCATCTCTTTTACATCCTCAGGGGTTTGTGGTTGTTGCGGGGCGCTCAGGCCTCGCTACAAGAGACTGGTCGACAACATCTTCCCAGAAGACCCAGAGGTGAGAAGCTCAAGTGACTTTGTTTTTCTAATGCCTTTCTGAACCTAAATGGTTATTTTTATTGTCTGAAGTTGTGTTCTGTCTTCTTTATGCTCGTATATATAAATGGTTTGCCTCTTGCCACATTATTATAATTCTTTTTAAAGAGGAACACTGTCTCTATATAAGTTTCAATAGCTCATTAGGTTGAACACAAACAAGAACGCACAACAGAACACATCAAATATTAGCATAAATTGCTCTGTATCAGATTCAGCTTTCCATCTGTGGTCCCTGCCAGGTAAATATAAACGCAGTGTTATTATGATATTGTCTTTCAAGTAGGAAGAGTGGGTAGATGTGGTAAGAAAACATCACACACAGCCTCAGATGTAACTATCTTCATCAAAGCTGTTGGTATCGAGCCACATGCCCTTTCTTTTCTAGCGTTTGAGATCTGATGCAGATGACTCATAAAGAGAATTCATTTGGATGGAAAGAAGCAGCTGATTTGTTGCAGATGAAACTTTTCACAAGTGCCTCTTTGCTACTGCAGTAACCCACTTTACCAATCAGTTCTCGGCCAAAACTGCAGCATGCGGGACATACTGTTTCAAGCAGACCTCATTTCGCTGTTTTGTGTGTGTGTGTGCATCTGCTCTTTGTGCGCCCAAAACTGGCCTTACATGTGGCTCTCATCAGCTGTGGATGAGACTGTAACTACCGAAATCCCAGCAGCTTGGGAATAATAAATCCATCTAATAACATTTACTCCAAATTGTGTCCATGTGGGTGTGTTCCATTCACATTTTCTGTGTTTTCTCCCAGATAATTGGTGGTAAGAAGCCTAAATATAGACTCTCCATGTGTCAGAATGTCCCCACAGTAGGATACATTACTAGTTTTAAATTGGAGTGCATATGACTGGAGTGTATCATTGGGAAGAGTCTACAATTTACTCTGCTGACTCTAACAGAAGCCAGCACTGTTTTCCCACAGAACTACAAAATGATTGAACAAAAACAAATCAATTTTAAAAGTGCAGGTTGTTGACAGCTGCAATATTCTGGCTGTGTGATCGGAGATGGATTTCCAGCCAAAGGATGTTTTTGATAAGCAGACAAATCAGAGCTTTAGCCCTGTGCTGACCTCTGAAATAACCCTCTGATGAGAGGACTAGACCCTTTTTCACAGCCCACATTTTGACTTGAAAAGCATGAGAATTGTTCCTGCTCCGGTTTCAGGGTCCTGGTATTGTGCATTGCTCACTGGAAAACTTCACAAAGCCATCTTCAATGAAGCAGTAACACCTGTGTTTTTTAAATATTACAAGTCATAATTTAGCTCGCAGATCCCCAGCTGAGGGTTCAACATTTCAGAAATGGAAAATAAAAATATGATTATTTTTCCTTGGCTGTTAATGATATAAATAATGAATGATGCCCATGTATAACAGCAGTTATTATTTTTGAAGATATTTTGCCTTACATAGCTACGCACAGAATACTTAAAGTGTACAAATCAGTTCCCATTTCTCCAAAACATAACAGTCTTATATATTTCTGTTTGTGGGTGTTGCTATTTCATTGACTTCATGTTTTGGCTCCTGCCTGAATGTCAACTAGATATCAATGGACTGTAAACGTTATTTAGCTTTCTCCCCGCCTGACCAAACTGATCAGAGAAGTAGGTCAAGGGCTGGAGTAGGAGGTGAAACTTGGTGGACTAGTTATACTCTTTCAATTTTGTTTTTGAGGAGGATTACACACACTATCAGCTCAGACATGTTTATGGAATAGAACATGTATTCTTTCTCAGTGGAAGTCAACACACGTGTCTTAACCAGTTGCCTCTTTGTTTAGTAGACATTGGGTGTCTGTACTCAATGCCTTTTGAACAAGCCAGTACCAAATAATATCAACAATTCTTCACTCTTACCTGCATACAATCCTTTGTGCACTGGATGTTAACAATGCACAGCCCTAGTGGACATACCAGCTTCATGGCAATCCGAGATTGACTGGATTCTCATTTTTAGTAATCTACTCTTTAGGGATTTTAAACCTTGTAAAACGTTTTTCCTTCGTCTTGTTTTCACCCCTTCTTTCTATCTCCCCCCCATCACCCTGGCAGGATGGTCTGGTGAAGGCCAACATGGAGAAGCTGACGTTCTACGCCCTGTCAGCTCCAGAGAAGCTGGACCGTATCGGAGCCTACCTGTCTGAGAGATTGTCGAGGGATGTGGCCCGACACAGATACGGGTGAGCGTCTTCCGTCAATCACAGTTGAAAACACTTTTCAAAAGACATCTTGGCTGTTTCTGCTTGGCAATTAGGAATAGTATTTATAATCTGCCACACATTCAACTTAAATTCAGCAAAGTTGAAGCTATTAAATATAACTTATTCTAAGAAATGGAGGTTATCTTGCTATGAATTAATAAGAAAAGTGGTGCCTGGAATTGCCTTCCATCAAAGAGATGCTTTAAAGAGCCTGTGACACGAACCCAACAACTGTTGTGCAATGAAATAGTGGGCTACTAGTAATCTCGAACCGTCAGTTTAAAAAATAAAAAGCGATACCGTTCCGATAAATATCAATAATTTCGAACATCGCTGGAAAATTCCTTCGACTCATTTTGAGGTTTTGGGGGAAGCCGGAAGTGACGTCAATGCGGGAACGCTTCACTGTGCGGCGAGAGAGCCAAACACAGACAAAGTGTGTCGTCATGCGTAGAAATGGTGAATTACTGAGTTTAGGCACGTTAATAACGTTTTAATTAAGTTGACTACAGTATATTCATATTTGTCAGTGCTTTCATGTCAATTCGGCGAACATAAACATAAATGATCGTGGTGAAGATGATGATTAAATTAGGATTAAAAATCGGTAGTGAGAGCTGCTGAATTTCCTCCCGTCGGATCTGATATAAAAACAAATCGATTATTTTTGTAAACTCAAGTGGATGAAACTACATTTATTAGTGCTTTCATGTCAATTCGGCGAACATATGATACATTAAATGATCGTGAGGATGATGATTTAAAAATCTTTTGTTTGAGCCGGTCTGCATTTCCTGATGAGAAAACAAACCTTAGCTTTTTGTAGTTGCAGTCAGTGGTGTAGTGGGCGTTGGACGCGGGGGTACGCCGTACCCCCACTTATTTGAAGCATGATTTCTTTTTTTAATAGTCTAATACATCTAAAATCATTGCCAGTGTTATCAGTTGCAAGTGTGTGTTTGTTGTAATAATGACGAAAACATAATAGGCAGATTTCACAGTAATTATAATAAAAACGTAGCTCAAGCATTTATGCAACTTGATTTGAAGCGTGTGTGTGTGAGGGGCAGAACTGTGTGTGTAGGGTGACCAGGTGTCCCGCACTGTGCGGGACTGCACACACAGCATTTTATTATTTGTCCGCGTCCCACACATTGAGACTATGTCCCGCATTTGAGTGATAGTCGCGCCGAAAGGCCGGATCGGTTCGCTGACAGCCGGCACCGCCCTTTATTATTATATTGTCTAAACGGCATCATGTAAGTTGCGCTGACAGGCGACACAGAGGTCCCCAAGCCCCCCCCCCCCGTTGACAGTTCACGAGCGCGTCCATAGTGTCTCCCGTCCACCCACCACCCCGTCCACCCAGTAAAAACATCCCCACTACACCACTGGTTGTAGTAGTACACCAACATGGATTAAACGTGTGTTTTTTTTACCACAATGTTGGGGAAATTAATGGATAAAATGCACGGATTATTATTATTATTATTATTATTACTATTCCCACTCCGATCGGGACACTAGGTCCACCGTTTCCCCGCCACGCGAGGCTCCCCCCGTTGACAGTTTACGTGGGCTGGGCTGGGTGCAGTGGCGGACTGGCCATCGGGACGAATCCCGATGGGCCGGTACCGAAGTGAGCCGGTCGGATAAGTCACTAGCACATCCCCCACTCCCCCCGTTGACAATTTACTAGTTGTACCGAAGTGGGCCGGTCGAGAGTCCCGGGCTGATTTTTAGTCCCAGTCCACCACTGGCTACATGACCGTATGATCGCCCATATTGACGCACCTAATTCCTAAACTTCTAACAGATACAAAATAAACCGATCCTTCAGCCTCATATGAGCTCTCAGACACGTTCAAAATTAAACTGTCATCGCTGTCTGAGCTTGCTGCTGTGTGCGCCATCGTGCGTTTACATGCAGATGCTGGGATCCTGAACGGTGCAGCTGGAGCGCTGTGCCCGCAATGACGTCACCCATAATTTGGCGGGACTTGAAGAATCCCCGAGAAGATCCAGGAAATGGTCAACATTGAAGGGCAGATTAATGGTTATCAAAGTACAACTATCCAAAATCAGTTCAGTAACGGTTTTCAAGGGGACAATATTTACTCAAATTGATGGGTTTGGATGATGGGGGAAAATCGTGTCACAGGCTCTTTAAAGGACCAGTCTAATAGTATACATTTATCATATATCCCACATGCAAACTCTATAGAGAACTGTACAATTATGCCATTGCATTTATACCAAATATTTGTGTTGTTGAACCTTTTCTGTACTCTATAATGACTCCTACTTTGTATGGAGGCAAGCGGTCGTGTTTTTCAACATTAAACTGCTTTAGGGTCATCAACGGTTATTTCTCTGCGCTCTCTGTACCTACTCTAAATGCCACAGAAGTTGTTGTCTTTATGACTCATGACTAGGACGCGCTGTGATGATCTCGCCAATGCAAACAGCTTGCACAGATTACATTAACATTTGGCAGAGTCTTGCTATAATCTGTTATCTATGTACTTTAATATTTCCAGAGCCATGGGAATTTAGAGATTTAAAAGAAATACGCACATACTTTATTATCCAGACACAGATATTGTCATCCAGATGTTTCTGTGTGTGCTTGCCCTCCTCCTCCTCAGGTATGTGTGTATAGCCATGGAGGCGCTGGACCAGCTGCTGATGGCGTGCCACTGTCAGAGCATCAACCTGTTTGTGGAGAGTTTCCTTAAGATGGTGCGGAAGCTGCTGGAGTCCGACAAGCCCAGCCTGCAGATCCTAGGAACCAACTCTGTGAGTATACACCATCGTATCACTACTTTAAAGAGTCCATCAGATGTTTGATAGTTTTGCAGCGATGAAAAACAACAAACTGTGTAAGATTTTTAAGATGCTGGCTTTGATCCTAATTCATGATGAGCATTCGGTTTAGCTATGACTATACAGATTTATGAAAGAAGTACAGTGTGAAACATATCTATAATAAACTGTACTGTGATAAAAACTCAAGTAAAAGTTATGGTAAACATTAAAATAAGGTCATGAAGTGATGTTTTCATCTTTATAAGTTCTGAAAGTGGAGTAGATGCACTGTCCATTTTTATTTTACTAAATTGAAGGTGATATTGTGAAGGATTTACAGTTTCTATTTACTGCAGAAACCAAAGGGTGCTTTGAATATCATTGAATCCAAAACGAAATTGCCTAGCCATACATTCTTGGTCACAAAAGGTGACCAAGAAGTCTTGGTCCCCTGCTCTAGGAGGAGATTCAGGTGATAAGGTGGGGGAGGGGGGGTTACCTTGGTTGGTGATTGGCTAATGGTTATAGAAGCAAAAAAACCATTATGACATCACAAAGTGGCCAAAATCTGATCAGCTCATTCTCAGACAGGTTTTTATATAAATGGATCAGGGAAAAAAGCGAGCGAATATTTTTTCCTGAAACTTTCAGAATCTCTTGACATAGAGGGGACACACGTGTATGTATGAAAGTCTTGAACAAATAGATTTAGCATAATAGGTGACCTTTTAATGTGCACTGTATGGCTCATCTGAAGCCGCAGAGCAGTGTCACAGAGCGGTGAAAGGAGCGGATTAGAGAGTTTATCACCACAGGACTTCAAGCCCGGCCAGGTTTTCTCACACTCTTTGACCTAAACACCTTGTGCTGCAGAGCCCGTTCCAGCACCAGCCAGCTCATCAACACATCAGTACCTGAGTTAGTGTTTCTGTCATCTTGCTTTATGTGATGTGATAAAAAAAAAACGTCTCGGGGCATAGGGTTAGTTTCTCTCGGTGTAGCTCTTTGGAAAGCATCAGAAATGTTATGATCTCAGCTCTCCATCCATCACTCACTGTTTTAAACCGTACACTTACAGCTTTCGTGCAGACACAGAGTGCATTTCAGAGTTGATACATTGATATCTGGAAGCTGCCCGGCATTACTGCCAATAATCCTGGGCAGTTTCCGGGTATCAGCTGCTGCAGCGATTTACTGCAGCAGCTGAGCAGTTGCACACAAGTACTTCATTTAATTTACTCAAGGGTACTTTCTGTCATTTCAAAACCACTCTAAGCACTTATTTTGTACACAGGAAATAGATTCACAAGGCTCTAGATGTTCACTCAACATAAACTCTTCTTTATGTTTAAAGGGGGAGATGAGGTTTATCACCACCTGCTGTAATGTTAATTAGCTATATACTTCTTGCTTCAGGTAGCATCTGCTCTGCTTTAATTCTAAAGAAATCCACTTCATAATTTATGAATTGGAGATGGTTGTGAAGCTTAATGCCAGCGTGTTTAAATGGTGACATTTTACGACCCAGTGGGAGAGACCCCCCCTCTGCCCTTTGCTCTTCACTTAATAGGATGTTATGGCACTGTGGTTTGACTTTAATTTAGAAAAGTATTCATCATGGGGATTTAGGCTTTAATCAAATTGAAAAGAAAACTCTTTACAAACTAGCTTTCGAGGAGCAGACTTATTTCTGTGAATCTCTTGAGTTGTAGAAGTTATGTTTGACATGAACAAAGGTTTTATTTGTTCCCGTGTCTCTTCTTCTCTTCTCAGTTTGTGAAGTTTGCAAACATAGAAGAGGACACGCCATCGTACCACCGCAGTTATGACTTCTTCGTGTCGCGCTTCAGTGAGATGTGCCACTCGAGCTTTGAGGACCCTGACATCCGCACCAAGTGAGTGGACAGATGCTCGATTGAGCTAGAGACAGATTGAACAGCTTTTTTTAGACTGGCTTCAGGAAGTATGTTTTTAGACTACCTCTGCCCCCTCGATATTTTAATATCTTTATGAAAAAAATGCAATCCTTTTGAAATTGATTTTTGTCATCTGCTGGAAATAGATAAAGTGACATATTTGAACGTTTAAAAAATAGCTCTGCAGGATTAAAGATTAACAGATTTGGACTACAAACAAGACGAAAACAAGATTTCCTAAATTAAATCCTCCATTTATAGATTCTCTTGCCAGTCAGAGGATGTCTGGTGTCTGATTTCTGATCTTCTATTTCTGTTGCCTGCTAGGATCCGCATGGCAGGGATCAAGGGCCTGCAGGGTGTGGTGAGGAAGACTGTGAACGATGAGCTGCAGGCCAACATCTGGGACCCTCAGCACATGGACAAGATCGTCCCCTCTCTGCTCTTCAACCTGCAGAGTGGACAGCGCACGGAGAGGTGAGTGTGCACCAGGAACATGTTTGGGCTTTTGTAAGTTGCTGTTTATCAGGTCTGTTGAAAAAAACATCTGGGCTCTCGGCTCTCCACAAGGATGTGGATTGTCCACTCAGTAGCCACCCAGAGGGGCCCGGGTGCATTCCCAGCGCAGTAAAGGTCAAATTCAGTGTCCCTCACAGCAGCAGCATTCCATTATTTATTATTAGGCTTCTGGTGTGTTTTAACCAAAGGCTGTAAATAGCTATTTATTAGGGGTGTAACGGTACACGTACACGTACCCGTACCGAAATTATTCGGTACGGGCCCTTCGGTTCGGTACACGTGTGTCAACGCGTCATAGAGCGACCAAGTCATTTCATTGGACGAGAGGCATTCTATGAGAGCTGGTCACAGGGATGCGTTCACATTTAGTCAGTAATTTGAGGAACTGGCGAAATGGCGAACGCAGATAAAGTTGAGCTCGAAAATCCTCCAGCATCATTGAAGTCTCCGGTTTGGGAACATTTTGTTTTCGCAGTTACGTACAAGGATGACGGACAAAGACAGGTGGACCGAACCAAAGCTGTTTGTCGGCATTGTTCAACTAAAATTGGTTACGCGGCTGGCAATACATCAAACTTGCACACTCATTTGAAAAGGCATCACCCGAAAGTGAATATCACCGGTACCAAAAGAAAAAAGACTGAAGTGCAAACAACTCCCACTAGCATTTAAGCCTCCACCACTCGCAAAAAGTTCAGACCGAGCCAAAGCTATTACAAACGCCAAATATCCTTATGTTGCCATGTTAGCAAAGCGCTACCTGGCTGTATCTGCTACCTCTGTCCCTAGCGAGAGGGTGTTCTCCACAGCAGGAGACATTGTTAGTGCCAGCAGATCTGCCCTTTCGGCAAGCAATGTGGACAAGTTAATTTTTCTTTAAAAAAGCATGAAAATACAATGACAAGCAAGTCATAATGTCAAACTGGCTGCTTAGGTAATAGTACAGTTCAAATACAGATTATTTCAGTTCATCGAAATGCTGCATCGAAATGTTTATTTTATTATATTTTGTATTTATTTGAGTGAATACATTTATTCACAGTTTAATTGTAACTAAAAAAAATATATATATATTTTATGTTTTGTGATAATTTTTTCTGCTGTACCGAAAACGTACCGAACCGAACCGTGACCTAAAAACCGAGGTACGTACCGAACCGAAATGTTTGCGAACCGTTAAACCCCAACTATTTATAGTAAAAAGTATACCTTTTCCTGACTTATTATAATTGTTATAATTAAGAATCATTAGACTTAATTTTGTATCATCATTGGCACCTTCAGTCTATAATATTCAGTTAATAAGGACATGCCACAATGATAGTAATAATGTATTAACAGAATAGACACATACTCTTAAAATACTGTTTCTTAAAACGATTTAATTGAAATCAAAAATGAATATATTATAGTAGCCGACTGGACTTAAATAAGTCGTCAGCTCTTTTTCCCGGCAGCCGGTACTTATCAAAATCTCAGTATTTTATATTACATTACATGTTACTTGTTAGACGCTTTTATCCAAAGGGACTTACATACTCAATACTGTGGGCAATCGCCAGAGGAGCAATTTGCAGTGAAGTGACATGCTGACTGCAGTGGGGTTTGAACCTGATCCGAACACCAACGCACTATTCCACTGCACCGCAGACTACCCATATCATTTGTTCTTTAAATGGCTGTTTTTTGATCATATTAAATGTCATAATGTTGATTAGTTGAAAATTGGTTGACTATTCAACCCACTGAAAGAACTGTTTTCAGTAAAAGTGAGAAAATTATAGGGTTCAAAAATGGTATGACTGCAGTTAGGAGACAGGTAATACAGCCCTGGTATTACCATGTCATTGCGAACAGGTGGTGGCAAACTTGATGACCAAAAATGATTCACATTGACCGCTGTGTCTCGGTATCTACGTCAAGAGTTATTGTGTTGTCGGCGACCGGTGCTATTTGTCTTGCGTTAGGCCATATTTGTCCACGTCATTCATCATCACTGTCATCACTGAGAGAACTTACTGACAGCTCTGATCCCCTCACGGACATCTGCTGCCCACCTGCAGTATTCCAAGGACAAAGACAAGGGTAGAAAGGTTAAACAAGACAGAGGGGGGAGAGAGGATAAACAGAATTGGTTGGAGACACAAAAAAGGATCACAATTACATTGAGAGCTGGAGGTTGCCAGTGAGAGAGTCTGTAGCCTCCCTCTCTTGGCCGCGTTCCACATAGTGAAATTCACTTTGACGTCAATGCCGACTTCTCAAGTTAAAGGGGAGGGCAGCGAGGAGAACATTGGAAGATTGGGTGGAGGGTAGATAATAGAAAGTACAGTGATGGAAATGTGGAGCTTATTGAAGGAGACGGAGACAGATGGACAGCAGACAGAAAGGCTCCAACAGAGAGACACGATTCCCTCTCAGCCTCCCTTCTCTCTGTGTGTGTTATTATGAAGTCTGCCCCTGCTGTGAATGTGCAGTCATTACCAGACGTAAAAACCCACAGCAGTCCGTACAGTCTAATTAAACTCACAGATGGTGCCTTTTCTCTACATTAATCCCCATGCACATGTACGTGTTCACTTAAAGATCTAACTCGGGGACAGTCTTAGCCAAGCCTTTGGACAGTTGAGATTTCTTTAGATGTTTGTGGAGCTCCTGCAATCTTTCCCAGAGACCCATTTTGTTTGTCATACTTCAAGAACAAAAACTGTGATTTCATGCTGAACTGAATAGTTTAAGGCTTCATTCAAAAGATCGTCATTCAAATTCTTAATCTTTATTGAATGATGCACAATTGTGTCTATTCATTTTGTTTGAACTTGGTGATTTAGCCTAGATGCATATACACATTTGGCTAAACTATTATTATTAAAGTTAGTATAACTAGATTCCAATAACTCTAGAGCCCAGATTCCAAAGTTGATTAAAACTAGAAGGATGTTATATGTTGTTGTTTTCAAATTCCCAACATCATTTTGTCATGCAAAATAATGTTCTTTAATTCATATTTGTTTGCGTTTAGCCTTTAAAATGACCCTATAATGCTTTTTCGGTTGTTCCCTTCCCTGCATCGTGTTATATGGTTTGTTGTGCATATTAATGGTAAAGGCCTAAATCCCTGTGTTCCCTCCAGAGGGAGCTTCTCTCTCACACACTCACTGAAACGCCTCCATTGGACTCCTTTGTTTACTTCAACAACATAGTGACAGCACTACGTAACACTGCTTCTATTGGCTAGTGCTCCAACTCTTTGTACGTAGAAGACTAAGGGGCAAGACAGCTCAAAGCAGTTGACCAATCACAACAGATCCGGCCAGCTAACCAATCAGAGCAGACTGGGCTCTGGTTTGAGACAGAGGATGAAAATAGGTGCTCCACCAAAGGCAGTGTGTGAAAAATAAAGGCCTTTTTGAACATGAAAGCATGGAAACATGTCATAATATAGGCACCAAATACATATAACAACCTCAGAATGAGCTTAATAGCGCCCCTTTAAAAAAAATTGTTTTTATGTTTGCTCCCCTGCCTGCCACACAGACAGGGAGGCCCGTGCTGATTTATTGGTTTTAATGTGTAGGTGCCTGCTCAGACTTTGTGTTCCCTAAGCCATTTTCTTCCAGACGTTGCCTCAGCAGAAACGTTTAGCAGAAATGATCTTTAACATGCCCCTCCACAGACTCACACACTGCCTCTGGGAAATGGTTTGATGAGAGCAGATATAAGGGTAAACTGCCTAGCCAAGTAGTCTTCGAGATGATGGAAATGGCTGATTTTTTGTTGTTGTTGCATGCTTGTCAGTTTCCAAATCATTATTGAAAACAGTGTACTTGGAGGCTGTTAGGTTGACTTCAGAATGAATGGGGTTTAAGATGCACTTTTCAATCCGATAAGGGTCAATGGGAGTGGATTCGTAAGCATTATAAGCTACCGCTGAACAAATGCTAAACCTTTCAGCCATAGCGGTTTATAACTCATTGGCACCACTAAAAATAAAATGGCTTCATTTAAGTGTGTGACCTTAAAGTAAAACCAATATTAATCCTTTATTTTTCTTGCTTTTACTGTTTTCCACTGCCCCTCAAATGTCAGTGTATTTTTTCAGAGTTGAGTTAGAAACGCCCAGAGAGGCAGGAAGTCTCATTACCTCCACAGCAGCGGCAGGCCTGATGAAAGAGTGAGGCTGTTAATAAATAATGTCATCATTGGTGGACCACCCGGGGCTAGTCATGACTAAGATGGAGTTATAGTGGAGGCTTTATGCATGAGAACAGAGACAGGCTGGACACGGTGTCAGTGCACACACACACACACACACACACACACACACACACACACACACACACACACACACACACACACACACACACACACACACACACACTGTCACGTCTAACATGTCCTTCATAGTGATAACAGAATGGCATTGCACAAATTCACACACATTTTTTAATTTCCACTGCGAGGGGAAAAGTCACCTCAAGGCTGCAGTGGAGGCAGTCCAGAGTGCTTCTTCTGTGTGAGAAATCTCACCTTTGTGGAAATATTATTGAATAAATTACATTTTCTCCGTTCTCTCATTTTCTCTCTCGCCGCCTCTCCCTCTCTCCCCCCTCCCGACTCGACTCGACTTCCCCTCCCTCCTCTCCCTCTTTTCTGCCTCCTCACCTGCCTCGCTCCCTTCCAGCCGCTCCCCCTCTCCGCTGCAGGCGTCGGAGAAGGAGAAGGAGAGCCCGGTGGAGCTGACGGAGCGCTGCTTCAGGGAGCTGCTGGGACGAGCCGCCTATGGCAACATCAAGAACGCCGTCACGCCCGTGCTGATGTAAGACAGCTCCTAAAAACTCTTTCTGTGATTCCTTCCTTTGTGTTCTGCTCGTTTTCTGGCGCATTAATTACAAGGGAAGGATGCATCTTAATGCTATGTTGCGGTATTTTTGTATCTCTGCACTGAGTGGCATGTCGGCGGAGCAACAAGGTCAAGGCAAGGTTACACAGTTCCAGACCGGTGCATGACTAGCAGACATTTGACATTGTATTTGAATGAAATTGCGTTTCACCGCCTTATCTTTCTAAGGTCATGTTCTATGCTGTTGTCATTGAACTTTGATGTCTCTGAACCTGGTCCTCTGTGATTCGTGTTTTATTTGAAGTTATGTCCCTCCATCCATCTTCCTCTGTTGTTTGAATCTGAGCTACTCTTCTTTCTTCTATGTTGTTTGTTTTTTATCTCTCAGCCGTTTCCCCTAGAGCTCTAGACATTAACTATTTATTTCCGTACTGAGTTGAGTTGTCTGTTGAGCACTTATTATCTATGAATACAGCTAACTAATACAGTGTATATTTAAACAGCCACATTTTGAATTTTGCTTATAAGTCTAGAGCCTTTTATCGACTGCAAACCTACTTTTTTATACAGTTAAATATTACATTCATATTCCCTTTCAACTCTTTAATCCAGTTATCTCTCAATTTTCCCTACAATTCATCTCACTTGTCATGCTCTGTTCGAGACCGGCTCTCGTCCATCCATCAGCGTCTGTCTGTTTCGAGCCTTAGATATTTGTCCTCCTGCGCCTCTCTGTCTGTGCACAGTTTTCAACAGTGACGACCTTGATGTTTGATGAACGTTGCTGAATACACTGAACAATGAAAGACAAAGTTAAATGTCTCTCTATTCTCACATAGCAGTACATCGTTATACGTCTCATGGTTGGGCATCTTTACATGTATTTAACATAAGTGATCTCCACCCACAAAAAACCCAGATTGAGTCTTGATGTCTGGGATTTTTTTAGAAACTATACATTTGCTCTTCATCCCTTGCCATCCTCACCATCACTACCTCCTGTCAATGTGTTATAACATCGTCCCTGTCCTCCTGTCTGTGTCCCCTCCAGGCACTTGGATAACCACTCTCTATGGGAGGGGAAGACCTTTGCAGTGCGTTGCTTCAAAATCATAATGTACTCCATCCAGGTAAGTGATACAGTGTCCACTAAGACGTCCTCATCACCCCTTTTCTCTGTCTTTCTCCTGGTCTATAAATCCAGATCCAAGTAGGATTCACTCAGTACCATATTTGTATCTAAGTTTTATCACACGTTTTAAAGGCGGCTAATTCGAAATATGCTCAAAATCCACCCTGTGATGCCTTTATTGGAGACATATGGTCCCACCAAGCTATCCAGCACCCTAGTTCTTGACCTTTTTGAATGACTTGATGTCATGTTACAGATTTACACCACTTCTAATTCCCTCTTTTCCTTCAGTTTTCTGGTTTATTTGATTTAGTTTTTGGTTTAATTCCTTCTTTCTCTCCTGCCCTCCCAGTCTCAGCACTCTCACTTGGTCATCCAGCAGCTTCTCGGTCACCTTGACGCTAACAGCAAGAACTCAGCCACAGTGCGAGCCGGGATAGTGGAAGTGTTGCTGGAGGCAGCCGCCATTGCAGCCAGCGGCTCCGTAGGTGAGAAGTCTGACACACACACACACACACACACACACACACACACACACACACACACACACACACACACACACAGAGTTTGAACTAGTGTTTTGATGAGTCACTGTTTGCAGGTCCCACAGTGCTGGAGGTGTTCAACACCCTGCTGCGGCAGCTCCGTCTGAGTGTGGACTACGAGCTGACCGGCTCCTATGACGGCAGCACCAACATCGGCACCAAGATTATCAAAGCTCACGAGGAGAGGCAGCTGCAGGAGGCTGTCATCAGGACCATCGGTGAGTCAGTGTGTGTGAGAACGTGTGTGTGTGTGTGTGTGTGTGTGTGTGTGTGTGTGTGTGTGTGTGTGTGTGTGTGTGTGTGTGTGTGTGTGTGTGTGTGTGTGTGTGTGTGTGTGTGTGTGTGTGTGTGTGTCTGTGTGTGTGTGTGTG